GGATAGGAGGCAGGGTGGATCCCAGAGCCGGTCTGGACGCGGTGGGCAAGAGAAAAATCTTGCCCCTGCCGAGAATCGAAACCCGCCGTCCAGTCCGTAGCTCTTCCCTTTACCGACTGAGCTATCCCGACTCCTCATTTTACTTGGACGAAATATTATGTTGTAAAATTTTCTTTCGATTTTTCCAATTCAAGAATTAGGCAGATAGGCTGTTCCTGCTATGTTCTGCATACTCTACTAGGATCTATTTTTCCTATGGGACTGTACCAAAGAGGCTCTTTTGGCACTTGACCTTCTCTTGCCCTCTCAACCTGTTTAAGTCTTGTCTGTATTTGCTTGTCCTTTCATTCATTGTATAATTTTACGTCTACTTGTGTGTAGTTTTAATGCACATATAAGCAGTCTCTTGGTAACAGGCCGGCCTCTGAAGACGGTACTGTGGGCTGCAAATATGTAAGGCAATTATATCAAGCAGAATTCTTTTAGTAACATTTTATATTTTAAGTTTGTTTTATTGCCTGAACAGTCAGTCAGTGTTATGTCTATGTTGGTATGTACTGCGTGATCGACCAATGATTGGGGACTGGTCCTTCATAATCCCAGCGGATCAAAACCGAAGTACATTACTGTGCTAAGTAATGTCACGTACTGGGGAGCCTGGAGAGACTGGTTACGGGCTGGAAGGTTCGGGTTCAATGCCCTGCAAGAGTAAGATTTTATTTTTCTCTACAGCGTCGAGACCGGCTCTGGGGCCCATCCAGCCACCTATCCAATGGGTACCGGGAGCTCTTTCGTCGGAGGTAAAGCGGCCAGGGCGTGAAGCTGACTACTCACCTCCAACTAGATCAAGAATACATTCATGTATACATCCACTCCCCATGCGCCTTCATAGCGTAGTGTTTAATCAGTTAAGCAGAGGAACAACTTCACCTTTTTTACCTTTAACTCTTGAAGGTCATGAAGTAACCGTCTGTACTATGAATATTGGGATGTCTGTCTGGCACCGTGCAGCTAACAGGAACTGCCTTGACAACTATGAGCAGTAGAACTGCTGCACTTGAACTACATGTCACAAATATTTTGCATGTGAACTCAGATTATGGCAGAAGTTGTTCCATCAGCATAGAAAGTTTTATGTGGGAATTATAGTAATAACAATACAGTGTTGGCTAACCGAGGTGCTGTCTTGACATTTGCCTGGAGGGACTGAGGAAATCCACTGAATGCCACTGTCAGGGCAAACGGTGTCCTTGGACAGGGTCGAACTGATGCCCTTGGGAATACGGTATTGGCTAATGGAGGTAAAGTAAAATTATCCCTGTAACTGGCCGTGGAGGCCCATAGGGTTGTGAGACGTCGAGGCTCCTACATCTTCTAGGCAGTCGGCTCACAGATGGCGGTAAGATTGTCAGCCTTACGCTCCGGCCGCCATTTACCCCCTCCCCCCGCGAGGAGTGGGGGCTGGAAGTATTAGGTAAATTAAAAAATCCACCTCATCGGGACTCGAACCCGCGGTCTTCCGGTTTGTAGCATAGTGCCTCAACCAGCTAAGCTACCGCGTACCCCCAGATAATCGAGGTGCTGTCTTGAAATTTGCCTGGGGAGATAGAAAATCCACGGAAAACCTCTGTCAGGATAAACGGAGTCCCTGGGGAGAGTTCAACCGATCATGTCCTGAATATGAGCCTGGACCATTACGGTTTGACCAACCTGCTGATGGGTAATTCATTTTCAAACCGAGTTAAGTAGGTCCATCTAAAGTTTCGCTGCACGACAAATTCTAACAGACACGTGGCATCTACATCCGGTCACTCAAATGACGGCGAGGTTTTCTAGAGCTGCACGGTGTCGTGTATACTCAGCAACGCTGTCTTCAGTAAGTACATGACATATATTCCTTGTCACGGGGAGTTCACAGAGAGAATGCGAGCTTGTTACAGCGATGACCCTGATGAATACCATCTTCCGAGATGTAACCCCGTGTAGTCTGGTAGAAGCTTTCCGACATTTTGGAGGGATGTACCACTTCCATTTTCAGTGTTTAAGAGCAAGCCAAACAAGCAATATGCAAGCAGGAATATTACTTTACTAAATTTGTGACATTACAAATTCACAGTAATAGAGAAAGGAAAGGCTATCCCTGTAACAGGCTGTGGAGGCCCACGGGGTTGTGAGATGTCGAGGCTTTCACATTTCTATACAGTCGGCTCACAGATGGCAGTGTGGTTGTCAGCCTTACGTGCCGGCCGCCCAGGACCCCCCACGAAGATTCCTAGTACTCATTTTTGTCAGAGACTGAATCGACCCCAGGGCCATAGTGTCGCTGGAAGGGTTAGGTAAAGGTAAGGGTAAAGTAAAGTTGTCCCTGTGCTTAACTGATTAAGCACTAATACATGAAGACATGGGTCAGTCGAAAAATCCAATGACCTCATGGGAAATCGAACCCCTGACCTTCCGGATTTTAGCATAGTACCTCAGGCAACTACGCTACCGCGTAACCCAATTAACTTTCCATACAAGTATAAAATAAGTTAGGGAATGTATGCATATGTAAGATTTGAGGCTTTCACGGCGGTGACTATGAAGAAAGCAGTTTTCTGGGATTTGGCACCGTGTATATGTGGTGTTAACCGACGTTTCGGAGGAACGTATCACCTCCATCTACCCTGAAGAT